GTTTGTAATGGGTTTTAATGTTTTTGTCTCGTCGCTCCAGCCGGGACACGGCATCAACAGTATGGTAAGGGGCGTAACATTTCCGTCTCACGCTTGATCACAATGCCAATGCTGGCAAATCACAGCACACCTCGCTTTTTCAGACCGATGAGCTTTGTAAAAATCAACGCGTTTCAGAAAGACGGGGCATAGAGGAGAAACAATAATGTACAGTATGTGGAAAATAATGTGTTTTTTTTACTTTAAACCGCATAAACACATTTCATTACACCAAATACACAAAATAATGTTCTTTTTAGCAGCATCATATGACCCCTTTAAATCTTTAAAAAAAATAAAATGAATATCATCGACACATGATCTCTTTGAGTTATTCTGTTAATATGTCTGTCTTGTACGATTTTATTAAGGTTTGGTTAAAGACTGTTCTTGGCTCATCAGCTGATCTATGTGTGTGTCTGTGTACATGTTTTTCTATCCCGATGGGAACTTAAACCTGAATACACACCGACTCATGGGGACTCGTGTCACTGTGAAGACCTAAATAGAGGGCCCTATAAACAAGCTTATAAATCGTACAGAATATATATATATATATATATATATATATATATATATATATATATATATATATATATATATATATATATATATATATATGTAAAATTGCAGAAAGTTTTCTGTGAGGGGTAGGTTTAGGAGTAGGGTTGATTTAGGGCGATAGAATATACAGTTTGTACAGTATAAAAACCATTAAGCCTATGGAGAGTCCCCACAAGGACAGTAAACCAGACGTGTGTGTGTGTGTGTTTGTATGTCACAACTTGGTTGTTAAATCCAAAAGTCCTTTTGAAGTTCCAAAACTCTTTAATAATCCACACTGAAGGGTATCCAAACAAGGCAGGCAAACTAAACCAAAACACTGATGAGACCGGGCAAACTGAAGATTAAAACTAAAGGTTAATTAATGAAGCAGACCTGAACAGAATGACACCACCAACTCAGTAATCATGACAACTAAGGATTGGTATGAACTAGAACAAAGGAAAAAAGAAACTGAATAGAAACAAAATAAAAATCTATATAATTAAAATATATTTAAATTATTAAAATGTAGTTACCACTAGAATAGTTGCTCAATCTTCTGCAAAAATAGAAATAGACTTTTGCTTTCTGCTTGCATATGATGCCTAACATCTAAATGAATTTGAACCATATTAAACAAAACAAAAAAGTAACATTATTATTACAAGATCAGTAAAGTGATTACTTTGAGGTAGGCTTTTATTTAAATTATTTTTCAGTAGTACAATCACCCCACCAAGGGGGCAATTGTAACATTCTGACTGGCATTTAATTTAGTATTATTGTCTTGTCCTTATTAGTGAAAATATATAAATTGTATGCACCTGTATTTGTTTCTTGTATCAAAATATGACTAGTGTATTTCAAGTAGTTTGTGAGTTATATAGGAAAATGAGAAAAAAAACTGTTACAATAGCCCCCTATATTTGGGACCCCCAGTCTCCCCTACATTCTGATGAATTGGATGAATTATTTCATTTGCATGACATTAGTTTATGACAACATTGTGGCAATGTCTTGGTAACATTTCTTTTTAAAGAATCATTTCTAAAGTTCCAGAAATGCCTCAAATGCCCTCAAGAATGAAGCTAGTTATTCCCATGGAGAACATTGTCATTTTCTTAATTTTGTTCGCATATATTATGACAAAACTGGATATTGTCTGGGAAATGTACAAAATTGATTAATTAAATTGTCTCAATTTTATTACCTTTGTGGAGATACTAGCCTAGAATTCTTCATGCCTCAGTGGCACATATCTTTTTTCTTTGCGATCAGGCACAATAGTGCCAGTCTTTCATTATGATTTATTCAAAGCTGTTATAAAATACTTTTTAAACACATACACTTGACCTCTTTACATCAGTATTACATTTTATAAAAGCAATAAGCCCTGTGAAGCCATGATTTACAGTGATTGTTGAAAAGTTAAGCTGGTGTGCCGTGCTTAAAGGGTTAGTTCACCCCAAAATTTAAATTGGCCCATAAATTACAGCGGGTGTTGCATGCATAAGTCCAAAATAAGTTAAATAAAAAGCCCCCATCCATAAAAAAAAGTGTCTACGACTCCGGGGGGTGAACAAAGGCCATCTGTAGCGAACCAATGCGTTTTTGTTAGAAAAATATTCATATTCAAAATGTAATAATCACTTTAATGTAGCTTGCGCTCACTGTTGTACCCGGAAGCAGTTCCGGGCAGAGGACGTATGAGGTCGGCTTTGCGCAAGTGATGAACGCGGAAGCGCAGGGGAGAAATCAAAACAAAATAACGGTCACTAATTTGAAGTACAAAATGAGGATTTGTAAAGAAGAATGTCGGAGGATTTCAATATAAGCCAAGAGGAGACTGGTTTTCCTTTGCTAAAGTAAGGAAACTTTGCTTCCTTTGCTCCTGTTAACAAATGTTGGTTTTCACGAGACTCACTGGCGCATGCGCAATGCTGAACTCATACGTCATCAGCCCGGAGCTGCTTCTGTGTAGGACTGTTGGCGCAAGCTACATTAAAGTGATTATTACATTTTGAATATGGATATTTTTCTTACAAAAACGCATCGATTCACTACAGAAGGCCTTTGTTCACCCTGTGTGAGACACTTTTTTTTATGGATGGGCGCTTTTTATTTAACTTCTTTTGGACTGATGCATGCAACACCAGCTGAGTGGTATTAAACAGCTTGAAATATCAAAGACAATTTTTAATATAACTCCGACTGGATTCGTCTGAGAGAAGAAAGTCATATACACCTAGGATGACTTGAGGGTGAGTAATTTATTGGCTAATTTTCGTTTTTGGGTGAACTAACCCTTTAACAAAGCCTCTTAACTGTTTTAAAATCACTATAAACCACAACATTTTGATGCTTAATGCTTTATTAAATTGTTAGTACATATACCTTGCAAGGTTCAAAGCATGCACAGATTTGTTGTAATTGCCATAAATCTCCTCTATAAATCGACTTTTATTTATGTTTTTTGCCCATTTAATGTTAAATGTTATATTAGATGTGTAGTGTTTCAGATGTGCATTACTGTTTTAGATGTGTGTACTTTTTTAAATGGTTTTTAGTGATAAAATTCCCTGTTTGGTTATTTTGCACATGAACAGTGTCTCATGATGTGGCTTCAGGTCAATACTGAGATACATTTTTATATATATATGTACATCACCACAACAAATATGGGAATAACATACGTCATTGAGAAGTTATTTAATGAGTCACTGCAACAAATACGGTATGGTCTGGTTACATCTAACAAAGTGTAACTGCACAGAGCACAGAGTCTGTGCTGCTATATATAAGGCACATACTGAATCTTCAGTTGTACCTTCAAGTGCGACCCTACGGGATCAACAAACATCAATATTTCTCCAAATTGCAACTGCAAAATTACTCAAGCATCAATCAAACGATGTAAACCATATTTCTTTATTAAAGATTAAGAAACTCCAAGCAGCATATTCATAAATAAAATAAGAGTCTCCCTTATATGTAATGTTACAGACTATGCTATGATACTGTTATATTTCATGGAATATTGGATATTTTTTTCTAAAAATCAAAGGGGCACAAGTGTAAGGCAGTGAAGACACTTAACCCTACAAATTACACATCCTTACCACCACTGTCACCATCTCAAAGCCACGGGTTGTGTTACACAGTGTAATATATCACTTTGGTTCACATTAGTAACTATTTGGACTTGTACAAAATATACAGGATACAACCTTGATTTATGACTGACAAGCAAATGCAGGGTGAAATCTTCTTGAAAACTGGTCTATGTGCACACTGACAAATGTCCTTCTCTTTATGAGTTGACGAATGGAAAATTTCAGAGTGTCTGTGGAAACTAACAGGAAAATATGCACAAGTAGCTGTAAATGGAGTGTGTATAAGGTTGTTCTGGTTTAGGTCACAAACATAATATGGTTGAGATTCATAATTGGTCCGAACCTCCTGAAAAACGATTAAAAAACAGCATGTAAAAAGAATGTAAATGTTTAATTGTACAGTAAAAAAATAATTCATATGTGTGTTTGGACTATTTAGAATTGCCTGCAAGAGATGTTTGTCCAGTTGTGGGCGTACCAACATGGCTTCATTTACTCCAATCACATATTCCCCTTGTTTATGTAAATTATGAAAATAATTTAATATACAAGTTGTTGTTGTTGGTTTTTTTGTGTCTATATACTCTGTGTAAATGTTGTACAAAAAATGGTTTTGGCAGAATATCAGAAAAGCAATGATAATACAACTCTTTCACAAATGACAGCATGAACTGGTGTAAAATGTCTTTGATGTACCACAAATTAAACTGTTGTTATGTTTCAGGAATACAATTGTTCTCTCTGGGCTGGTTGTGCTCACAGGCTTTTAAAACAGTCTGAATTTCAGTTCAGTGCTGCTGCCATGATTGCAAGGATTTAGCTTGTCTGAGACAATATTTCCGCACAAGTCACTGCTATACTATTTTGAATGGTTAGCTTTTGCTTGTTCAGTAAACCCATAAAGAACAGCAACTCAATGCAAGCACATAAATCTATATCAGTAATCCACAACTAAAATCTGAAAAGGAAGCAAAATTAAAATGGCCTCACTGTTTGCAGGTTGAAGAAGATTTATGTAAAAGGGGTGCATGATTATCAGCGCTCAGCTTTTGGGTTCCTACGGCCGTGTATGATCATCTAGTAACAAAACGTGGAGAGACATCTTTTATTTCGGCACTTAGAAAACAATCACAATGAATAAGTCTTTACCCATAGAGAACAAAATTCACAAAGCCATTCAAACAGTCATTTTGAATTTTTTTTTATATGTCCTTTTTTGTTGTTCATTTGTTTTTGTATCTCAACTTCAAAAATTGAGAATATTCAAAATACACTTTTACTTACTTCTTTTAACACCGCCACAGTTTCCAAAGCTCCAACAGCAGCTCAGCTTTCTTCCTTTGAAAAGCAAGTGGGAGGCAGCACATGGTGACGATGACCTTAGATGGATGTACTATGCTCAATAGCTTCTGGGATGGGTCCTCCTGGTACTGACTGGTAGGACATTGGCATGGGCGTCTTGGCGGGACTCTGTCGGAACAGACCCCCGTTGGGAGCCCTGTGTTTGCATTGGACGGAGGGCATGGTGGAGCTGCGGAGAGGAAGGGGCAGGGTGCTGCCAGGACCCTGGGCCAGCATCCGGCCCACCCCATGAGCTTGCTCCGGGAGGAAGGTGCTCACAGACAGGCCCGTGCCCGGGTAGTCTCGCACAGCCTCCCGCTGCTGGCTGGGCAGCATGCTGCCGATGTCCAGGGCAGAGATCTCGATAGATGGTGCGGGGATCTGCTTGTGTGCCATGTCCTCGTCCATAAGACTGTTCATACGCCGATGCACCTGTTCCAGGTTCACCTCCTTGTCCTAGAGAGGGTGAGAGAAGAAAGGAGGGACAGAGAGGCTGAGATCGGCTGGTTCCAGGATGGGATTTTTGCTTTTAAGCTCCATGCAAGTAAGGCTTATTTGAGTTACTGCAGGGTGTGCTGCGAATTTACTAAAAATACCCAGTTGGAAAGTTCAGATAGTAGAATAGTGTTTGAAATAAAAGTTTTATAGAATGTGCACCTTGAAATCAAATTTGGCCAGTGGGCATTTAAAATAATGATGCTTGAGTGACACTAAACCTGCCTTTACAGTTAACATCACCAACAACATTAGTGCTGGAGCCAACCTGCATTTCATAAAAGACATTAACAATAAAATATACAGAAATTTTTATGATTGCAGTTAATTCTCAGTTAAAACACAGCATGCATTTTAAAACCACATACTTGCAAAATATTTGCGTAAACAATTTAGTATGTAAAAGTGTTTTTAAAGTTTGTTTATCATTTTTATGTTTTTTTGCTTTAAAACAAACAAACAAACAAAAAAAAAAACAGTGCAATTCATATTGCAATGCAAGTATGTGCTGCATTCTGTGGTCAAAGAGCTTTGCTTACGATGTATAATATAATGTGTATTGTAAAGTTTTTTTTTTTTGTAACCATAATTATTCACTTGTACCACAATGCAAAACATAAAGATGTAAAATCATTCCATTACAGAAATAAAAACTATGAGGAAATTAAGGCCAGGTGAAAGCTAACATTGCTTCCCCAAAATCAAGTCTGAGTTTTCTCTTCGTCTTGTGTTTGTCTTTTTTTAGCATACTTTCTGAAGCATAAATAAATGTTTTAGGCCATAGTTAAAAATTTTAGTTTACATTTTAAATTTAATTTAGTTTTAAACCTAGTTAGAATGTACTTCTATTGATTATAAAATCTACAATCAATTTTATGATGCTATATCTGGGTAAAAAAGGAGCATACGTGTGTGTGTGTGTGTGTGTGTTGATCAAATAATAAAAGTGAAAATGGCTCCACTGCTGGAACACAAAGAAATTGAACATAGTAGTTCAAAGCCAAAGCAGAGAGACCTAACTAGCCCATAGGTCCCATCTAATCTGCAATTAATTTTGAATATTTATGTTTTGGAATCATGCACAAGAAATACAGATTGGCTCCAGAGTCCACCACTGTTATAGTAAGGTCACAAACTGTTACACAAAATTATTTGTTAAGGTCTCACAATATATGTAGATTAATGAAGCTATGCAGCATCAAATGCAAAGACACATTAGAGAGTAATAAATCTTTGGGAGGAATAGGTCAGGAGTTAAGGCTGGAATTGCAAAGCAATTGCACTGGGTAAATTAGTCATATTAGGTTGAAGCAGACTTTATCGCCGTTCAGTAATCCTATTTGTCTTAAATAATGAAAGAGAGTTGGGTGAAATTTTAAGTTATAATGACTCAATAAGTTCGTTTTTTTCATTGTTAAGTTTATATATATATATATATATATATATATAATATATATAACGGTCTAACTGTCTAACTGTCTAACCAGATGCAATGACTTCTAAACCAACACTTTTTGTTGTTGATGTATTTTTTTCCCAAACAACTGCTACTACACTCTTAAAAATAAAGGTGCTTCACGATGCCATAGAAGAACCTTTTTGTCTAAATGGTTCCATAAAGAACTTTTAACATCTGAAGAACCTTTCTGTTTCACAAAAGGTTCTTTGTGGCGAAAGAAGGTTCTTCAGATTACAAAAACGCAAGAAAGAGATGGTTCTTTAAAGAAGCTTTGACTGAATGGTTCTTTGTGGAACCAAAAATGGTTCTTCTATGGCATCGCTTGAAGAACCTTTTGAAGCACCTTTATTTTTAAGAGGGTACTGCATAATGAATGAAGCCAGAAATTGCCAATTACTCCAAAATTCTGAGGTCACTTGTACTATAAAACCGTGTATATATTCATTGTTTAGTCATTCCACCATAGTCAATCAACAGATGGTAAAACTGACTTGTAAACTACATCCAGAGGAAAGTAAAAATGCAGGGTCAGAGACCTAGCATGTAGTTTATTATTGCAAAAAAGTGAACTGGTGGTAAAGATAACCCTACCTCAGCTTTAATGTTCTTTTAATATTTTAAACCAAAACCTGAGCTTTCCAATCTTAAGGAGACAAGAAGAGTGTGTACTAGCTTTGCTTCAGGCCATCCAATCATTTTCAGCTAACTTTCTTACTATAGTGGGTCTTGTTAAGAATCCCCATGGTTCTAAAGTGTAAATTTGAGTCTAATTTCGATTGTGATATAGGAGGAAAAAGGTCTGAGATCTTAAATCCAGGGCATCTGCTGCCCTACCAATGCTATATTATTAACGCTAGTGGAATCTTGTTGCTTCTTTCATAGTCATGTGCACCACTAAACAATCACTTGAGTGAATTTGTTTCTCATGATCTTAAAACCCCTTTGATCTAAATGCTTTGCTTTTATTGCTTGAGATATGTTTTGAAGACAAATATAAATTGGGCCAAATGAATACATTTTCAAAACTAAAATTCTAACTAAAATGTTTTTAATGAACAAGTTGGAGCAGATATTGAAGGAAAAGCATCCAACAAGTATACAGCAAACACAGGAACTCCTTCAGTACTGTTTAAAAAGCATCCCAGGATGCATTTAGTCATTTATTATGATGTGTTTAGTCATTTAAATTATAAATAAATAATAGCTTATTGACTCCACAAATAAATGCCACCAATTAAACAGCAGAAGTGTGTTTAACTCTAATTTTGATTGAACTGGAAAATCATTTATCATCTTTAATGTGGCATTGTGCTAATCGTTCAAAAACAAAACAAAAATCTCAAAGCAGGAAAAGCAAAGGCTTAATTCTAAACCCAACACAACTTGGAACGTGAATCAGCTAAATGAGCCAAAAAACCCCTGCAAAATAAAGAAATAAATCTTTAATATTAGATGGCTTCTACATCTGGTCCGGTTAATTCCCAGCCAATCAAAGAAGAGGCCTACAATTCTATTCTGACCTGTGTCAATAGCTTCTGCTTCATTCCAGTCTCTTTCTCTGTCTGTCCAAATGTCCTTGCTCCCCTCCGAAGAAGCAGTAGCAATATCATTATATGTCAATGGACCAGAAACCCTTGCCAGTCTGTAATCCTTAGTATCCTGCATGAGATCATAAACAAATGAAGAATAAATGTAAAATAGAAAATATAGAGATAAAAAAAAAATCCATAAAACTCGTCCACATTGACATATAATTGCAACAGGATGTCACACAGTAAATTACTAGGGATTATTGACTGTTTGGGGTTTGAGTTATGTTTTTGGGGTGGCTCTTTTTTTTTTTAGAATAACTGAGCAGACAGACTCATGCAAGCACCAAATTTGCGCACACTTTAGTTTACGGATCCACATCAACCCTGTTCCAGTCTATTAGATGCAATTTCATTGGCAGTGGATGAGGCTTTAGAAAGGCTTATAAAAGAGTGAAGTAATTATTCAGATATTTAGAAATAGGTGATTTGAAGAGAACAGTAAAGTTAGACACTTAATTGCATCATGAAGGCACAGTTATGGGTATAAAGTGTTGTTTAAAACACTAAATGGAAGAAAGAACTAATTAAAAGGGAAGAGATGACCATTACAAGGTTGCCAAAAATCTAAGGAATTTTCTGGTGTATAATCATTTGGAATCATTTCCAAATATTTGCCACTGCCAAGGAGTAAGGTGCTCTGAAACAACTCTGTATTTAAGGCTTTTTTCCAGCTGAAAATTTCTGGTAATCATTTGGATGTTCAAATCATTTATATATATATATATATATACAGTGGGGAAAAAAAGTATTTAGTCAGCCACCAATTGTGCAAGTTCTCCCACTTAAAAAGATGAGAGAGATCTGTAATTTTCATCATAGGTATACCTCAACTATGAGAGACAAAATGAGAAAAAAAAATCCAGAAAATCACATTGTAGGATTTTTAAAGAATTTATTTGCAAATTATGGTGGAAAATAAGTATTTGGTCAATAACAAAATTTCATCTCAATACTTTGTTATATACCCTTTGTTGGCAATGACAGAGGTCAAACATTTTCTGTAAGTCTTCACAAGGTTTTCACACACAGTTGCTGGTATTTTGGCCCATTCCTCCATCCAGATCTCCTCTAGAGCAGTAATGTTTGGGGGCTGTCGCTGGGCAACACGGATTTGCAACTCCCTCCAAAGATTTTCTATGAGGTTGAGATCTGGAGACTGGCTAGGCCACTCCAGGACCTTGAAATGCTTCCCTGGCGGCTCAGTGTGTTACTGATGGTAGCCTTTGTTACTTTGGTCCTAGCTCTCTGCAGGTCATTCACTAGGCCCCCCCCTGTGGTTCTGGGATTTTTGCTCACAGTTCTTGTGATCGTTTTGACCCCACGGGGTGAGATCTTGCGTGGAGCCCCAGATCGAGGGAGATTATCAGTGGTCTTGTATGTCTTCCATTTTCTAATAATTGCTCCCACAGTTGATTTCTTCACACCAAGCTGCTTACCTATTGCAGATTCAGTCTTCCCAGCCTGGTGCAGGTCTACAATTTTGTTTCTGGTGTCCTTTGACAGCTCTTTGGTCTTGGCCATGGTGGAGATTGGAGTGTGACTGTTTGAGGTCGTGGACAGGTGTCTTTTATACTGATAACAAGTTCAAACAGATGCCATTAATACAGGTAACGAGTGGAGGACAGAGGAGACTCTTAAAGAAGAAGTTACAGGTCTGTGAGAGCCAGAAATCTTGCTTGTTTGTAGGTGACCAAATACTTATTTTACCGAGGAATTTACCAATTAATTCTTTAAAAATCCTACAGTGTGATTTTCTGGATTTTTTTTTCTCATTTTGTCTCTCATAGTTGAGGTATACCTATGATGAAAATTACAGGCCTCTCTCATCCTTTTAAGTGGGAGAACTTGCACAATTGGTGGCTGACTAAATACTTTTTTTCCCCACTGTATATATATATATAAGTTACATGATTTATCCTCCACAGAAAACTCTGAAATGCAAAAGTACATACCATTCTTACTTAGGATTCAAAGAAAAATCAAATTGGTGGAATATAGTAACTCTGTTCCGAAACCTTGTGAGATGTCTGCCTAGGTACACTTCAAGACATAATAGTCATGGCACAATGTAAAAACTGATCCAAAAGGTAAGATTAGATACCTTATTTTGGACAAACTCTAAAGCATTACTGCATTTATTGTTTAGAGAGAAGACATTTCTAGAATGCAGTGCAATGAGCTCAATGAAAAAATTAATTAATTAAAAAAATCCAAGATAGTGCTGATTAAATATATGCATCCAATACTGAAAAGTGTCAATAAAATAACTTGTGTACTATGTGTTTTTATAGTATCACATTTTAACTTACCAAAATGCTAATTGCAGTATCTGAATTGGTGACACGTGGCTCAATGAGCAGAACTATAAAAGTTTATCTCTATGTAGTGTGCTTTAGATCAATCACTGAGGTTCCATTTCAGTTGGATGCTACCTTGAAAGTACACGGCAACTCACTAGGTTTTGAAGCAGAGCTTTTGTGTTCTGAAATGTTCTAAACTCCACAATCACATCTTATTAGTAAATGTGACATTCTAGACTGTAAATCCTGCTTCATTAAGGGCACTGTGCACACCCCAAGCACAAATAAAACCTGTTGTTATTTTGAATAGGTGGGGGGGGACCAATTTTGATTTCATCAGGGCACACCTATAATTGTGTGTACTGGAGCTCGACTAAATCGGGGCTCGCGTCTGCTGCGGGATCCTTAAAGTAGAGTGTGGCAGTGTCCTCTCCCTGCTCTGTCTTCCTCGCCCTGAGCTCGGTCACCTCTTTGGGCTGCTCTTGCCGACAGCGATTGCTGTTCCACCACATTTCCAGTGCGGCCACCAGACAGGCCAACAGGAGCCCCGCTGCTAGGATGCAGAAGACGCCGGCGAAGCTATGCAGCTTGAGCGAGCGACCATCCGGTTGGGCATTTCTGTGGCTGTTGAGGTCACAGCGGCCAGTCCGAGGCCACCACTTCTGTTTCAAGACATCCAGGTCTCCTTTCTCCTGCAACTCCAGAATCCTGTGAAGGATGACAAAGGGATGTACTTATTTTATGTGAAGTTTTTCTTATGGTTGCTTCCTTTCCTCTCAAATTTTCTGAATGCACCCTGTGCACGTTAGCCAATCAGTAAACTTGTAGGTGCCTCTCTATGTTTGCTGACCAATAGCAGACGAGGGAGTGTTTGAGAAACTGTTTGGAAATGGTTGTTATGAGTGGCACCTCTAATTTTGTTGTTCTTGGCAAACACCACAAATAACTAACACAATGGTACGGATAAAACAGAGCTATTTTGCAAGGTGGCGAGTTTGTCCCCTAACTGGACCCCTAAACATAACAGCAGTGGGGCATTAGCAGTTTGCATAAAAACATACAAACAAGATTATCCAAATTAGCCACCAATTTGGCAAAACGTAAAATAGTTACGAATTGCCATAAGATTGTGCTGGACCAACTGGCAACATCTTAGAAACTATCCATAACACCATTAGGAGTGCAAGGCAATGCCCTATAGCAAAGTTTTGCACAAGCAAACACCACACAAATTTTCTACATGCACAGATGCACAGAAATCACTTAAAGCAGCTTAATGCCTCACCGTAAGCAGATTAAATGTTTAGACATTTTATACCTTTGCTGGTACAAACATAAACTAGTAAAGTAAGACATGTTTAAGTAAATAAAAAGATTTTTTTTTTTTAAATTCAAAAATTTGTCAGTGAAGGGCTCCTCCACAAGTAATACAGGTGTTTCATGTCTCTTCAATGTAAAACGCAACATGCAACATGCAAGGGGGCTACCAACAGTTGAGAGTGGTAGAGAGAACAGATAATGATGGGCCACAAAGCAAAATAGTAAGATGAATTCTTCACTTAAGATGAGATGACATTATGGTTCACTGTGTAATAACCTGCAAGCTTCCTCCCAGCTACCTCAGAATGTATTTCCCCAGTCGCCCTAGGCCTTTTTTTATTTTTGGAGATTTTGCTATTATTTTATAAGATGATAGAGTGTAGATAGTAAAGTAAAAGTGAGAGAGGGAAAATGGGATCAGGGCCCAATTTCACAATATTGTTAGCTCACCTTGAGCTAAAACAAACAAACAAATAAACTACTCTTTATAATTATTAGTTATAATTATAATTTATATATAAATTGTAACTATAAAATGTTTCTTAACATAAAGAGTTTTATGCAACTGGCAGGACTTGAATCTTGGTCCCTATGAGTAAACAGATACATGCAGATATAAACTTTTTTTTTTTAATGTTGGGTGTCACATGTTCCCCGTTTTGTCTTGTGTTTCTTGTGCCAGTTTGTAGTCTTTTGTAGTTTAATTTCTGTTTTGTTGTCTCCTCGTTTTCCCTTGTGTACTTAATCATTGTGCTGTGTTCGAAATCACCCGCTATACCCTCATTCACTATTCCCTACATTAGTCCACTAATATAGTTCAGCTGAAGGAGTGAATAAAAACGAGTGAGCGAAAATCGGACACTGAGTGTGCCGGAGGGGCTGCTACTTTTGCATAATTTGTGCTTGCTGTTTAATAATCATTAGAAAACTTTGCAAACTAGCAGCTCCAGTAGTAATGAAAATAACTATCTTGAACTGTCATAGAAGCTAGCATGTATAAACATTCAGTAAAATATTTAATAGTCAATTATAAAGAAATGTATACCTGATATTAGGCTGTACTCACATTGAACCAGGAGTTTCAAAAGTGGATGGATGGATGATTCAGCTGCACGTGCCATCTTCTAGCAAGATGAGGTTATTCATTCGTCACGACCCTCACAGTGCATTATTGGTCTTCTCTAGCCATTGAATGTACATTAGTTGTACAATCGGTATTTTGTGGTACATTATGGGATTGCACTCGATAATATCCACTATGGTTTTGGACACCACTACAAATGGCTGTCCCCTCAAATAATGCCTCTTTTATAGTGGGTGATTTCGGACATAGCCCCGGTTTCCCTGTGTTTCATGGTCAGCTGTTGTGTAACACTAGACAAGAACTACAACATAAAAGTCCAAACATAACACAAAACCGGGAGCATTTGACACTGAGTATTGCTGGTGGTTGGGTCATGCTAATATATTCTAGATAGATCAATACAGAGTGAGTGAGAAGGCAACCAAAGATCATTATCCAGCTTAACAAAATCCAAAGGCAATGCAATTTAACAATCTTAATTGGTTACAAGTGATTATGTGGAGCTTTAGACAGTCTGCTGGCATCTGTTACATTCACAAAGGGATCAGTTTGTAATGCATGTAAAACTAAACCCAAGAAACAATAAGTAATGTGAAATCAAGGCTTTGTGTGCAATAAGTATGGCTGTGAGTTGTGGGAGATTCAAGGCACCTATGAAATTGTGAGTCATTTTTGTGGTAACTGGAGCAGGTTAATGAAATACATTTGAAGCATATGTCTGCAGAATCTTGAAATGTTATTGCATGTTATACTATCTCTTGAAAACATTCACAAAACAACAGAATATATATTATATAATTCTATAAGAAATGTGTAGAATTGTGCAAAATATTTCGCCTCATTCACTTTTTGTACGACACATGGGTTTTTGCAGTAGCTAGAAAACTCTTCACCATACAATTAAATTCCCCAAAGCACAGTCAACTTAAAATAATTATGACAATAGCTTTTGCCTGAACAACAGATACTCCTTACACCATCTGCATGTTATTTTTAAGAGGTGAAACTTAAAAATACTCACTTTTGGGAGATAAGGTCTCGGTAAGGACTCCCATGCTGCATGGCGATTCCATAGCCTTTGCTGCTCATGCTGTTGCCAGCTACAGTGATGGTGCAGTCGTCATCTGTCAGTGCTGCATACTCCACCACGGCCATGTCCCACAAAAATGCATAAGGTCCTTTTTTGGCCTGCAAAAAAATTAAATAAAATACAGCATCATTCTTAAGGTTCATTAAAGCCCATTCACAACATTAACGAGAACTGTATTAGTGTTAACTGTTCATAACAAGTGTGTGCTGAGGTTATGTAGTCTGCCACTTTAAATGATCATGCTAAATTGCTGAGTGGGTTCTGATTGACTGTGAATTCAAAGTTTTTTATCCTTCATCAAAAAAAAAAAAAAAGTGAAAGTGATTCTAATGATATAATTCCTTTGTGTTGTTATTGCTATAGCTGTGTTGTGGGCATCCCTTTTCTCATAGATTTATAATGATTTTTAAAAATGTATAACCTTAGTGACTGGAAGCAATAAAATGGATCATTATTTATAGCCACAAAGGTTATTATTGTGTAAGTGTTTTATCATTGCAATCACACTCTGGAGACTAATCTATTGAGTTCTATCTCGTTAAAAGGAGCTTCATTGATCTAAACCTGCCCTCATTGGCTGATTCAAAGGATTTCCCATCCTCAACTCATTATGTACTCTAAAAGACTCCCTAGTCTTCCTCTTTGATCTTTAAGAACTGACACTGAATGTCCGTTGTTCATTTCAAAAGGGTACATTAAGAACTTTTAAAAGATGACTTGAGAGAAAAGTCTCTTGTATAGACAGTTCTAAATGTTACCAGCTCTAAATGTTAACGACTGATATTAAATGGCAAATACTTTCCCTGCAGTCTACAAGGTAGTGCTAGGCAGTCCACTGAAAATTTTAGAGAAAATGAAATACAATGGGGTATTTATGGGTATACAAGTTAAAGCAGTATTTATTAAATATATAAAAAGTAACTTAATCAGCAAAGTTTCTTCTACAAAAATTGTCAACATAGAAAGTAGAAAACATTTCCGCCTATAATAGCATTTACTTGGTTTTAGTTTCTGTACAGTGAGATATGTGATTGGATGAAAAAAAATCATTGGGAATCACTGACCTAGCAATCAGACCTAGCAACCAGTGGTGTAGTAGTTACTCAAGAGGTGAGCATACTGTGAAATTATCAAGATCCCATTGTGTGTTAGTCCTGCTTAATGCTGAAGCAATCTACTGGCACAGGCTTATGCTTTTTTTTTTTACATCGAATGTAATTATTTTTTGTGGCTTATTGTACTTTTAATAACTTTTTTCCCCCATCAAGCACATCCTGCAGTTTAGAAACAGTAGGCTAAATTTTATGGCAAATCACATTGACCTTGCACAAACCGGTAAATGGTCAATAAATGGTAAATGGTAAATAAAAATGTCTAGATGTAACATGCAGCTGGTTGCAGGAGCAATGAGAATTTGAGGAAGGATCTAATCGCAGCGGTATACTCATTTAAATAACATTCAAAAACCAAACACATACTGAAAAACAATACTGAGATGCTGCAAACTATAAAGAAGAGAACTGACAATACACAACTGAAACAAAGGGCTAGAAATGCACAGCTAAAAACAAAGAAGAAAATAAAGTGGCCAGGTGGGGAAAATAAATGAACAAGTAACCAGGAAAATTAACTCAAACAAACGCAAAAACAAGGGAAAACACAGATGAATCCTAACAGAAAGACAGTCCTTATCCTTTCCAGGCGTTAACTAAGTGTGCATAAATACATATTTGTGGATCAGGATTAACCCATGTAATAGATGTCCTATAAAAATACACTATTCGCCTATGCCCAAAAGGAGGCCATCCCCCTTACTGAACCTGAGTTGTGCTTCACATAAACGTGTAATGTCTACACCAGACATAATGCATGAAGTGTTCGTTCTTCTGCCAGACTAAATGATGGGGGAAAGATGCTTGTACGCTAGCCATCTGAGCACTAAAGACCATGAATGGCACCTTTGGAACATAACTAGCTCTGAAAGCATATGATCGGAACTCCAGACGAGCCAGCTACAAAGGCATGATTTGGTGAAATGCAGAATTGACAGAGTTCCAACTGACACGCACATTCCATTTCAAAACAAAAATTTCAACAAATGCCCCTATTCATACCCCTTCAGCACTAGCTTGTAAAATTCAAATATTTTTACTGATTGTGACGGCAAGCATGTGTAAGGCAGGCTCAGCTGAACTGCCATGCATGCAGGTTCCACAGCTCCAGCTGTTAGGATTTCAGATTTTACCCTGTACCTGAGAGAAAGTCCTCAGTGGTATCATCTATGGTGGAACTCACAAATTCTCCCCATTTCTGGAAACCATGACTGCTTGGGCCACTCTGGCAATGAATAACCAGCGCTCTCATCTACCCTCAATACCATGACTGAGGTGAGACCCTTAAGCAAGGCACCGAACCCCCAAGTGCTCCCCAGGCGCTGCAGCAAAAAATGGCTGCCCACTGCTCTGGGTGTGTGTTCACTACTGGGTGTGTGCACTTGGATGGGTTAAATGCAGAGCACAGATTCTGAGTATGGGTCACCATACTTGGCCACACGTCACTTCACTTTCACTTTTTTTTACGTTCTTTTTGGAATTTTCAGTGTGAACGCACTACTTGCACTTCTATACTACAAAATGGCATAGAATAGTGCATATGTATATGCGAACTGGGACGCACCTATTAAAAAAAAAAAAAAGTCTAATGCTTTTGGATCAGTTCATTATCTGATGACTCAATGTCCAGAGCTCAAAATATTCAAGAATTCATTTGGCATTTCTTCTGGCATCACCATCATTGGTGATGGTCATTGAGAAGTCAGGAATTTGAGGAAAATATATGTCACATTCATCTGCTGTATGTTGAATATTTGATTATAGCAACCGAATTGCCAAACAATCATTGTTTCATTGTTCTGCTGAACTGACAAACTTTTCTGATTCTGAATTTCAAAGGGATACCCGAACAATTACAACAATTGTAATAGACAACATTTGGACGCAAATAACAGATTAGTGAAGATTGAAGGATTATCCCAAAAGATTATGTAAAAAAATAAATAAAAATGGATTACACCAAAAACACAGTCCTCAAAATGTCTGTGTTTTCATAAATTTCTGAAATCACATTGCAAATAGGTGAGCAATGGTCATACCTTGCGTATGCCTTCAGAAGGGCTAGAAACTGAGAAGTCCTGTCCATTGTTTTTGCTGATTGTCCTCCACAGCTCTGCATATGTGCTGTCCTGCTCCAGTGGGTTTGTACCTTTGGCTCTGAAGTAATCATACACCGCTGAGTCCCTAACGGTGCCGTAGGCATAGTCCATCTGCCTTGCAAGATCCTGAAACGTTCTGTTGGATAGATGGACAAGATCATGTAAAAATGTTTTGAAAAGATCAGGTAAAAAGTTTAATAATCATGATTAATGTTTGTTCCAATCTCTCACCTTACATTATGAGCAATAGATGCAATTGCTTAAGAAAGACTGAGAGACACTTGAAATGCACATGGGATGTTTACAGTTTAAGTGGAATAGCACACCATATTAGTGAAAGTATAAATCCTTTAGTTTAAATGTGCTCATGTGAACAGGTTGTTGTATTTTGTTTGTTCTGAGGATAGAGAATAAACTTTCTTTTCCTCTCCCGAATTCCTACACAACTTGTAACGCTCTAAATCAACATTTAGATGCAATACATACTTGCATCTGAATTTATGGTATGCATTCTAAGATAACATTTAATGCGTGTATGTACTTTCAATAAACATCAGAGCACCACCCTGTGGCTGAATAAGGCAAGGACAATAGACCACTGCCAAAAATATGTGTGCATATGTTCAGCAATTACAATACAAAACTTACAAGAGATACATCACAAGCTACACTGTAAAAAAAATAAGTATACTTCTTTGTAAGGATGGTTCTAAATAAAAACCATGGCTCCCAACCCTAGTTACAATGTTTGACTATATACTAATTGGCATTGGGCATACTGCTGTAGCTTAAATAATTGCTTAAGAAAGACTGAGAGACACTTGAAATGCACATGGGATGTTTACAGTTTAAGTGGAATAGCACACCATATTAGTGAAAGTATAAATCCTTTAGTTTAAATGTGCTCATGTGAACAGGTTGTTGTATTTTGTTTGTTCTGAGGATAGAGAATAAACTTTCTTTTCCTCTCCCGAATTCCTACACAACTTGTAACGCTCTAAATCAACATTTAGATGCAATACATACTTGCATCTGAATTTATGGTATGGTATGGTATCACACAGCTCCGGGGGGTGAACAAAGGCCTTCTGTAGTAAGAAAAATATCCATATTCAAAATGTAATAATCACTTTAATGTAGCTTGCGCCAACAGTTGAACACGGAAGCAGCTCCGGGCGGATGACATATGAGGTCAGTGCTGCGCATGCGCCGGTGAGTATCGTGAAAACCAACGCTTGTTAACAGGAGCAAAGGAAGCAAAGTTTCCTTACTTTAGCAAAGGAAAACCAATCTCCTCTTGGCTTATATCAAAATCCTCCGACATTCTTCTTTACAAATCCTCGTTTTGTACTTCTAATTAGTGA